CACTGACCCTGGCTCCACACGCTGCAGTCGGTGTGCAGAGTATTGCACATGGGGCCAGTCTGGCCACACACTGCATGTGAAACCTGCACCATGCCATCCCTGAAAGCTGGATCTGGGGTGGTCTGGACCAGGCCCATAGACTGGCTTTGGGCACCAGATTCTGTGCACGGGGTAAATCCTGTGCAGGAACGGCATGCAGCCTGTGCACTCTGAACTGACCCCACACTTCTCATCTGACACTTGGGGCCAGATGAGTTTGATATCCCAGATTTATTCCTCTCCAAATACTTCAAAAGCCTTATTCTGGGCTAGCCAGTGAACTTTGGTCACCCATTTTTCACAGTCAGTCTAGTCGCCCAGGGAGGAAAGCTAAACTCATGTAGTACAGTTTTCCCTTCTGCCCAGGCTGCTATGTAACTGAACTACTCAACACCACAACTGTAGTCAGTTGGCATACTTCTGACCTGAGTCACTAAATTCTGTCAGAGCAAGAGCTTTTGATATTGCCATATATATACAATTAAGCTCTTAACTTTGAAGAGAAGTATTATGCAAGAAACATATGTAAGGTTCCTGTAATCTGGGAAGAATGTTAATCTGATTCACTGATATTGGCAGACGTGCCCTCTTTGTCATATCTCTCCAGACTGCTACTTCTATCCCACTAGAACCATAGGGTTAATCATTGTGACCAGTTAACATTCTGTTAATGAAAAGTTGTCCCAATCTATACTAACTACAAAAATATGTTTTAATACCAGCTAAAATGCAGCCTAATTATCCACTGAACACACACACATCTAGAATGTATACAGGTGCAAAAACTCTCCCAAAGTGATCTCAATGTAGCATCAGAGGCTAAATCTTCAATATTTTTTCTGTGTTAGCAAAATTATGCTTAATGCTCCCTGGCTAGTATTGCCACCTGAATTTGGCTTTGTGGGTATGAAAGCCTACTGTAATAGCCTGTAGCCTGTAAAGAGATTAAATAATATTTTTTCTACTTCACAGAATAGACAGTATGCATAAATAAGTTAGGTAGAAGGTCTAGGATCCTGGTATGGAAGTACAGACTGGAAAGCAAAGCCATGAGATCACATGGTAAAATGAGAACGCAAATTTCAGAACATGTTGACTGTCCTTTTTCTTCCTCTTTTCTATTTTCTACTTCTCAATTTCATATAAATCTCTTTCATTTCATCCTTCCCCTCATTTTTTCTTGTTAAGTAAATTATTTGCATTTTAGTGAAAATACTGTTTCTATTGAGAGACATGACGGGATCTACCAGTGCTCTGCTCAGAGAGTCCCTACTCACTTTGGGCCACACTAGATAAATTGTAGCTTTTCTGGTTTAAGAGATTAGAACCAGACCCTTTGTGGAGGGGATGGGTGGGTGCAGAGTACATTTCCTTTCTGCATGATTTCTGAAGCAACAGAAAGCAAATAGTGATGCCAATGGAAAGGCTTCAGAAGGCTGGGAGAGCATCCAAATAGGCCAAAAGGGTATTAGAAAGGGCTTGGGAGCAGTTAGGAAACATGGCTACAAGCCAAGTATGTCAAAGAAAACACTGAAAGAGCCACAAAATGTTAACGAAATCTCTATGCTCAGATCCCAAGCCAAACCTGAAGGTCTTCAGCTTAAGAACACAAGAAATGCCTAAAACTTTGAAGCACCACATAGTTTTAGATCACCTACAACCATGTTCTGTCATTACGTTTTACCTCAGCCAGCTTCCAGGGGTTCAAGTTTCCAGTTTTAAAGCTCTACATTTTTAAATGACCTCCAGATCAAGAAGATACCAACAGAAAAGGATTCCAGAAATAATGAGATCCATTTCTTTATTTCACTATAACAAAGACTATAGCTTGTGACAGACTCTTTGAGGCAGTCTTCTACACCTCAGCAATTGTTAAGATATAGTTACAGTTGCAAAGCAGCTTCAATAAGAGTTACTTCCTTTGGGCCTTAATTTTTCCATGCCTTGTCTCCTAAAAAAGTGCCTAAAAACTTCACAGAAATGTTGAAAATGTTACTAGAACTATTCTTTTTTTTTGTAATGTCTTCATCTGAAAAGTTAGGTATGATGTGCCTATGCTGCAGAACTTGAAAGAAAAAGAAAAAAGTTAACTTTTTTATTTATGAGTTTTAGAACATTGTTGAGAGAATAGTTAATCCATGATAGTTATATGCCCCCCTACCCCCCTTACCACAGCATGGAAATGACTCAAAGATCTTCAATGTATTCATCCTCACTACACCTGTATGAAAATATCCCCATTTTGCAGGTCAGAAATTGAGGCACTGAGAGGTTAAATGGATAAATGGCTTGAACAGAATCATATAATTGCCTTTTACAGAGCGGGGGGTGGGGGGTATATGTACACACACACACACACACACACACACACATACACATATACATACACACACACATATACACACTCACATACATATGCATACATTATACATATATGTGTGCGCGCGCATGTGTGTATACTCTCTCTCTCACACACACACACTCTCTCCTGGACTTTTAAATCTCTCTCTCTCTCTC